GTTTTCCAAGACAGAGTTTATCTGTGTAGCTTTGAAGCCTGTCCCGGTGCTTGCTCTGTAGCTCAGGCTGGCCTCAAACTCACTGAGATCCACCTGCCTCTGTCTCCCAAGTGTGCTGGAACTAAAGGTGTGCGCCACTACCGCCTGACTCTGACACTATTTCTGAATATAGCATTCCAACAATGATTTCTTTAATAACAGCAACTGTGAGAGCCAGTTAGCAAATTGTGACTGTCATAACCATTTAATCTTCTAGCTTCCCTTACTGTACATATGTGGGAATAGATCAAAGCACAAAAGTGATTTTGACCCTTTACTGTTAGAGACAGGTATTTTTTCCTATTCTAACTATGCAGATATAGAAGGTGAATTATTTAACCCAACTCTATTACAAAGGACTCACCTTCTCACACCATAAAGACAGAAACTTCCCTAAGTTCTAAAGTTGTTATTGGCTACAATTGCAGAAAGCCTTTGTTGATTACAGTCCAAGCCAGCTCTCGCCTCCTTTCTTTCACCCTGGAATTCCCTCAGCCCTTCTCTTGTTTTCAGGACAGTATCCAATCTTCTCATTGAGTCTTTTATTTAGGTGATAGAGAACTCTGATTCTTTGGTACAAAAGTTTTAGCTTCTTCCACTGGACTGGCTCATGTTTTTGTGTGTGTATGGATGCCTTCTAGTGTCTTCTTATTGTCTTTCAGTTTGGGAGATTAAGAACTAGAGAACAAATTCTAGCAAAAGCTTTGAAGGCTCAGCCTTAGGCAAATCATTGTGTGTGTTGATAGCATGAAACTTAGACTGAATTGTTTTTCTAGAGACCAAGATTTGTGCTTTCGTGGTTCATAGGCTTGTGTGAATGTTGCCCTGGATGCGTGGGAATTCTGCTGGGACACTTAGGGAAGGGAGGCCTGCTCTGCTGTGCTTAGTTCTCGGTTGCAATCTGAAGGCCTGCAAGGTACTCTGCGGCCATTGGAGAACACACAGCTTTTCTCCCCTTGGACATCTGAGTATGTGAAATGTTCCTACCAGTGGTGAGCTTTTATAGCCTGTGTACACTTAGGGCCTTCTGGGTGTTGGTCCGTGTCCCCAGCTCAGCCTGTGTTCTGTGCTGGCAGGTCACCAAGGTGCTTGTCTCCAGCCTACTTCCATTATGCAGTTTCCAGAGAACCCCATGTCAGAGGGGTGTGCCTCGCCTCCCCTTACCAGCCCCCAGAAAGGGGGATACACAGTAGAGACAATGACTTTCCTTCCCTTTGTTTTCAGTTTCTAAGTCCCACTCCCTTTATGGATGACCATATACTTTTCGGGGACATGCTGTCACTGGCAGCTGCCCAGTCTTAAGGAGCTGAACAAGAGCTGAGAGTTCATATCTTGAGCAGTCACTGAACTCTGTGCCCTGGGCCAGGCAGCCCATCAAAGGGCCTGGAGACAGGAGAGGAAGTGACTCTCGGCAGGAGCTTGAGTCTCCACCACAGTTTCCATCAGCTGTACCAAGAGAGATGTGTGCACAGTGAAAGACGGATCAGAGGGACAGGGATTAATTCTAGGTCAAGGACAGGGAAGCCTGGCAATATGCCACCTTTTCAAGAAGTTTAATTAATATAAAATATAGGGAAGTGACACCTACATTCTTCCCTCTTCACTTTACACAGTAACGTTTTTGTCTTCCTTTGCATTCCACTAAGGGATGGGACTTAAGTTTGCAGGGATTGGATATGAAGTTACAAACTCAAGACAAGTTATAGGAGCAGAGATCAATATGTCGACATTAGGACTTATTTTATTCTTTCTCTGCCAATTATATTGATAGTGGACTACCTTTGAGTACTGCAGCAATATAGCTGTAGAAGCCATAAAAACCCACAGAAAGATGGCTACCAGTTCACTTAAGAGGGCTTAACCTAGCTTTCAATATGCAAACCCTGTCTATTATAGTCTTAAATGTATGCTCATAAACTGTTTAAAACCAAAGGTAGTATCACTTTTCAAGGTTAGATTGATGTTTAAGGTTCATTAAACAAACAAGAAAAACAAACAGATCCGCAGCTATGGAGAGAAATAGGTAACTCCTACTCTCCTGCAACAGTGTTCCAACACCATCACTTAGATACCCTTTAAGTAATATTCTTGTAAAATTTAAGTAATACTCATTGTAAAATGCAAATCCTTTGGCTTTTAACCAAGGAACCATTAAGGAAAGTCACTGATCTGGTGCATGAGGATTGGGGGGCTCCCTGTGTGAACGAACCATCCCACTCTGTGCAAGTAAATTTGTTTTGAGGGGTTCTAACTATTTCAAGTCATCAGAAATCAAGCCACCACACAATAAGTGCCCCAAACAGAAAGACATAAAGTTTGTTCTCACTTCTCTAAAAAGTATATAAAAGAGAAAGGTAAAATAATTATTTTGGTATTATTTCGACGCAAATGCTTAAGAGGTCTTTCATTTGTATCCGTTGTGTGTGGGTAGAAATTAATTTGTAATTCTGGTCCTAAGGTTGGCTCTGTACTTAACAGCATCTGTGACCTTTTACGTTGGAGAAAGGGGCTGTGTCTCCTCCTCGTGGAACTGCACCAGGACGGGTAGAGAATAATTATCCAAAGATTTAGGGCACCCGGGTTTTCATGTGGAGCCTTGGCTCTGCTTGAGCCTTCCTGGGATAGAATAGTTTAGCTTGACAGCCTCGGGTGGTACGTTCTCTGGGTTTTGAATAAAACTGAGAATTCACGCTCGATCCCAGTTTGGCTAGCCGCTTCTTCCCGTGTTTGTGTCTCAGTATTCAGGGCAGTGCTGGACCCTTGTAGAGGGAGCCTGAGCATTTCCGTGCCCAACTTTGATGCTTGTCTGCTTGCTTTTCTGTGGCTTGGAATTTTAAACTAGCTTCGAACATACCTCCTATTCAGCTTGTATTTCTCATGTTTACTGTTTCTCTAAAGGTGGGGTGAGGGAACACATGTTTTAAACAAAAAATGAACAGAAAGATATTTACTATCAGATTAAAAAAGTTCGGGGCTCATTATCCCTATTTTCTTTAATATAAATAAATAGTTTAGTCGCTTTGTCTATTGTGCATCTAAATTAATTGACAGAAAAGATGTTCTCCACTGATTTGTGGAGAATCTTTTAGTTATGAAGATATCACAGCTACAAGCACAACTTTGGCTAAGCTATCAAGAAGAGGATTAGATTTGTTTGTATGATTTTAATGAAAATGCCATGTTTGGTAAAAATTTTATCTGTTTGTTTTGTGTATGATCAAAAGGAATTTCCCTAAAATAAATTTAGATACTTTGCTTTAATTTTATGTAATTGATGGTTTGAGATTTTTCTAAAATAATAGCAATGATGGTATGACTCATTTGAAACACATTTGAATAGTTTTTAAATGTTTACCTTTTAATTTTTAATGAAAAAAATTATAGGATCTTAGAAAAAGAAAAGAGTAATTAGCTATCTTTTACATTGTCTATTATAATACTAGTTTCTGTCATGAGGATTTCAAATGTGATCTCATTATAAGTTTATTTGAATTTCCAACTTTAGGGACCGGCTTGAGATCTGCCTTTGCAGTTTACTCTGAAAGGCTTCCTCTACTGGCTTTTGAAACATTATGATTTCTGGTTTTTTCTATCGTAACAAATGACAAATGGCAATTGTTATGATATATAAAAGCTCTTAAGCTAGATTTAAGTTTTTTAAATCAACCTTTTTATCACTTCTCTTCTTTTCATTTTTGGACCCAACAGAATTTTTTGTTGTATTTACCAGGTTAGTATTGTCTGAGAATCCTAAAGTAGACATAGCCCTTCTGGCGCTCTCTTACAATGAAGATACTTACTATCTGAAAGTGGGGAACCCTTCAACATCAAAGGTTAGCATTTCTAGGTGAAAAGTCCCTGGGAGTCCCACTTCTTGATATAGTTTCTCCAGGAAAGAGAAGGGATGCTGTGGCTAGGTCCCAATGTCATGACACTTCTGGTTTGGCCATGGTTACATGCTGTAACTCTTGATTGAGTATTGGCTTCTTGCTGAAGCACAGTCAGATTAAAAATAACTGATTGTAAAGCTGTGGCATCAGGTAATGTTAGAATCCGTCCTTTCCTCAGATATAGAGGTTTTTAATATATTTACTTCAAATAATTATTTGTGTCTGTTGGCCTACATGTCTGAAAATGCTTTATTCCCTTTGAGATGTGCACCTCGGTTTCCCTCTTTTCTCCCAAACATATCACTAACTACACTTGCTTCTAATTCTGTGGAGTTCTTTTGAAAGTTCATTTTGTCTCATTCTGGGAAAAAAAAAGTTATTTTAAGCTATCTTACTTAGAAGTTAACTTAATGGAAAAAAAACTTTAAGTTCAAAAATTATGATTTTTTAAAAGAAGAAATAATTAAATTTTGCAAAGGTTTAGCAGATCCTGCCTTTATTAACAAACCCTTCTGAGGTTCCCAGGTTGATACCTACCACTGCAGGAAAGCATTTGTGCTGCAGGGAAGCTTGAGCCTCAGGAAGCCTTGTCTGGGCACTGGTTACTTTAGCACATGAGCTAGAACTTTGGGATTGAGTGGCGTGAGTCTGTAGTCTGTGCTGCTGTCTGGGCTTTTCAGTACCAGCTTCAAAATATGCCCTTTATTATGGTCAGAATCAAGCCTCAGAGGTATGTGATGGAGGATGAAGCCATTACCAGATGCCAGTATATAAGTAATGAGGAAGTGAGTTGGGGACCACCTTTCCTTTGGAGAATGGTTCTGAAGAGCTTCAGTTACTGATCTAGCACAGAGGAACTACAGGACGCATTGGCAAACTGGGTGTTTGAGCTAAAGGCTCATGCACCTGCCCCCTCCCGCTTTTCCTTTACCGTCTTTTCATTCATCACGTCATTTTCCTGACATCCTCACTCTTGGGTTCTAGGCCGAACCTTTTGAGAAAGTCTGGCACCTCTGATCCACTTTCTCTCACAGATCCTGTAATTTTGGCTGTATTTTTTATGTTTTTCAGATTCAAGTCAATCTGAAAGTCCCAGCCAGCCAAGTGATGCTGACATTAAGGACCAGCCAGAAAATGGTAAGTTTAGCATGGGACTCTGGCTGCTGTATCAGAGTCCCCAGGAGCCAGCAGCTGCCCTAGGAGCACTCACAGCAAGAACGCTGAGGATTCAAAGAGAAAACTCAAGGGGCATCCAGCAGCCTCGGCCCCGACCCCAGTCTTTTCTGCAAGTCTCCTCACTAGGATATTGAATTTTCTAGACAAATGTGAGGAGGGCTGGATTTGCCAAGGTACTTTCTAGGACAGCATGTAAGAAGTACCATGGACTTCTCAGGGCATTTTGTAACAGTTCTCTTCAAAATGAGAAGTGTCCAAAGGTGTTTATTGAAGATCATAGAAGGACAATTAGTCTTCAGGATAATTTAAATCTTAGCCCTTTGCAAATGGCCTTAAGAAAGCGCCATATCTTTGAAAGATTTTTCGCTTTAAATTGTCTAAAATAAAATAGTAAGAGACCATGAAATCCCTCAGTTGTGTAAACAGAGCAATCTTATCACTCACTGTCCTTCCTTCCCTTCTCTCTTCCCCTGCTGTCAGGACTGGGGCTTGAACCCGTAGTCCCTGCATGCTAGGCAGGTCCTCTGCCGCTGAGCCTCATCTCAGAGTCCACGTGAAGTTACTGCTGCAGAGACCTTCCTAAGAGAGAAAACACACTTTACATATAATACTATTGTGTGAATTGTTCAAGCTTTGTGATACACACTGCAAGGATGAAAAACATAGTCATATATTGGAATATTGGATTGAACAAAACTACTCATTTAATAAAACAGGAGCTATACACTAGCAGTCTATCATAGGTCAATATATAGATGCCTTTTAAATTCCTCAAATGTGAGACTAATGTCTGTAATATTAAAATGATGACTTAACCTCGCACGGTATTCATTTATTTATCCAGAATAAGATAGTATCACCCTAGTGAAAATTAAGTAAGGTAATATGCTTAACATATGAAGTCTTTTCAGTGACATTATATTAAAAAGATCAAGATACTAATAATGGTTCAGGACTTTTCTTCCATTTTCCTTGCCCATATAATGCTATCATTCTTTGTTTTTCATCTCCCACTTCCTGAATAAGAATTCCTCTCCTCTTTCTTCTTTCTTCTTCATTTTTTTCCCATTTTGATCTCCAGTTGATTATCCGGAAAGGATAGGCAAACTGAATGATTTGGTATGCTGTGATGGAGGGCTCACCTTAACATTAGAAATCCTATCGTTAATTGCTCAGAATACTTTCTATTTTGTCCATCCTGGAAACTCTGTTACAGTTCTTCACTGTGACCTTAAATGTGAACTGATGATTCCCTAGCCTCACTCTGGTATTTTGGTGAATTTTTCTTTATCAAAGGTTCCCCTTCCTGCCCCTGCCAAGACATAGTTAAAAAAATTACTAAATAAATAAAATAAAGTAAAAAAGGAGAGACCTCTAAAGAGTTTTTTGAGTGTCAAGCAGCTGCATATTATCTTTTGTTGGCAATCTATGCAGCAATATTTATAGACTTGTTTCTTTATTTTTGGCCTGGCTGGTGATGCCTTAAATGTCTCATTTTTCATAAAATACATTTGTGCTCATCTTCCTGAAGATGTGTCCAGAGATGACTTTATTTTTATCCTACAAACTGATAAGCTGTAGGGTGTGTAGCTCACATATTTAGGTCTGGATACCCCTCCATCAGGTCTCCGATGCATCTGCCTTCAAAAAATGGCCAGCAAGCTGTTCACATGCAAATATAAACTGAGCCTGGAGAGGCCTGGCATACCTCTCTGGAGTTGCCTGCAATACCAATATTGTGCATGTCCCGGCCAAAAATCATCCCATGACTCACCCAGGGTTTTGGCCAAAGGCATGGTGTTACTGGCCAAGTCCACTTTTAACCAGGATGACTTGGTGCTACCTCAAGCATCCGTGAGTGTGAGTTCAAAGAGAGGGAGAGTTTGTATCCAAGAGATAATGTAAAAACTGTGTACCTTCCAAGCTTCGGTGTATTTTCGTTAAAGAAGAAGCCCTTGTGTCTTAGACCTCTCTGCTGGAAAAGGTCAGCCCACTCCTTTCTTCCATCTGCCCTTTGCCAGTCTCAGGTGACCTTACTGGAAGAAAAATATCACATTTTCTTTGTTAAAGACACAGAATCACAAAGGGAGTAAATGAAGATCTTAGGGCAAGGTATTTGCACGCACTGGGTAGCCTGTTCTCAGTGCTGCCTTGATTGACTGTTAAGTCCTTCCTCATTGCCCCAGACTATGAGCGTGAACATGAGTTTCTCAATGGTATCTGGTTTCATTTTGAAAGGAAAAGCTCTCCTAGGTGTACCAGCTAAGCTCTGTGAAGTTTTGGAATCTTGCTGTGTGATGGCGTGACAAAAATCCGTTCTTCGGATGAAGTGAGAACGCACTGTTCCTTCGATATAAATACACACACACACACATACACACACACACACACACACACACACACGGGAAAACAATCTTTTTCCCATCGCTCTTGATGAAGGTAATGGGAAGCAAATGCTGTTTCCCTAGTAAACTCTAGAGACTGAACGGCCAAATGGTAACTTGCTGCTTCCTCTCCAGCCATCAGCTAGGCCATGCAATTCTACCTCAAGTGGATGCAGCTGCCTTCACCCGCTGCAGGCAGGCTGCTGGGTTCTATAGAACTCTGCTTTCTTTCCTCCTCTTCCCTTAAGACTTGACTGTGAGAAAACACAAATCTTTGTACAATTAGAGCAGTAGATGGAAAAATTTTTAAGGAGTTATCTGGAGCCCAGAAATAAAATACCAACATTTCTGAAACTCAAAATTGATATAATCTAATGGGCAAAACTGCCTCTGGAGCCAGACAGACCTGTGTTCAAATTAAATAGTAGCTGGGTGAGTAAATGAGCTGCTTCTGTAAACTTAATTTTCTTGTAAGCATACTAGAAATACTGAAAGGAACCTACTACATGAATATTGAAATGAGAGCAGGGGTAGAGACAGTATAATGCCTCATTCACAGGGAGAGTCCAAAGGTTCTTCACGTAAGGCTTGCCATGAACACCAGACACTATTCAAGGTTCCCAAGCTGGAGTCCTGGGGCAGAAGGAATGTGGTCAGAAATAACCTGGAACTGCAGGGCCATTCTCTGTAGATGGTCTCTAAGACGTTTGGCAGGAAGTTCCTTAAGTCCTAGAGTGTACATCTACTTTGCTGATTATCTCTGTCCTCGTTCTGTTTCTTTCCTGTGAGCTTAAGGACTTAATGGAAGAGAAGATTCAGAGTTCCTGGGACCTCAGGGGGTGTGTATTCTAAAAGGTGTTCTAGAAAGAAGGGACTCTGCTTAAATTTCTTTGATATTAGCTAAGTTCCCTACCACCCCACCCCACCCCACCTGGGCATAAAGCAAGTAGAACCTGAAAAATGGTGTTAATTGTGTTGGGAGTATAAATCAATAGTAGATCGCTTGCCTAGTGTAGATGAGGCCCCTTGTTCAATCCCAGAACCATAATTAAAAGAATAAAGAAAAGAAAGCAACAGCAGACCAAAATTAAAGAAAATAACACCCCCCTCAAAAAGAAAAACCAAGCAAACCAATAAAAGTTTGTAAGCTGACTAAGGTAGAATTCATGACAGATTCACTTTAAAACGATCTTGCACATAACCTAACTCTTCACTTTGAACATACAGGATAAGGGCATTTATTTGCTTAATAAGTAGAGTTACTATGTTGATAAAGTGTTGCCATTACCCATCTATTTTTTTTATATATTTAGTCATCATAAAGGTTTTAGGGAGGAGGATATTCTCTATATAAGTTGAATATCTAATTTGTATGTGGGAAATGACACACAGAATTATCTAGATTTTACCAGTTGTTGCTAGAGCCAAAGCTAGAGCAAGTGGGTTAAGCTTAGCTCCCCCAAACCATGTGAGGTTGGCATTGGGTATCTTTGGTCGCTGTAGAAAATGCAATGTAGATGAAGTTTGCTGCTCCAATGCATCAAGTCCATCACCGATGAGGGCAAAGCTTATGAAATACCATTTCTGCTTAATCAAGGCCCTATTCAGTTAGGCTGCAGAGAATCAGAGTCAAGTCAGCACAGGCAATCCTCAGACACAGCATTCCCCACTAGGTCCTACCAGTAACAGAGAAGCACCCAGAAGTAAAAATGAGAGGGGCAAAATTCCACTGCCAGGAAGAGAGGAGTTATGTCTGTCTTATTCACCTTGCCTTAGTGCTATAAATGGATTTTTGTTGTTGTTGTTGTTGTTTTGATAGTGAGAATCCATGTAAGTATTGGGGTCACTGTCTTTGAGTTTAGTGATGCTCGTTCCTGTCCAGCAGCTACACCATGCTGCCGCATCCAGCCTCAGATGGGCGTGTGTAAGTAGGGAAGCCATTAATCATGACACTTGTCCCAGATTTTGAGATTATGAAATTCTACCTGCCGACAACAATATTGACTCTGGCTGTTTTTCATTTGTTTGTTTTTTTGACTCTGGCTTTTATGTTGATTAATTTTATTTATTCCAGTACCATCTTAAATTGTTAAGCTCAATATCACTGTTAAATGTTACTAGATGAACAAAGAATCAGCTGATCTTCGCCATAGTTGTTACTGTTTTATTAGTTATCATTCTCACTCATTCGTGCATACATTTTGAATATTTTAATATTTTCCCAAACAAGTTGCAAGGATACTTCCTTCCTAGCTTAAGAATTTCATGCAAGATGCACTTTGTAGGTTGGGGGTGAGATAAGAAAACTATAAATTTCTTTTTCTCTTTTGGATGAACCTGTTTTAACTCTGGTAAATGTTCTTTTAAAAAGTCAACTTAATATTTTCTTTTCTCTGCTTCATCCACAAATATAATACTGTGCTGTGATATTAAATCACAATGTTCATAACACTGAAAAGGCAGAAAAGTCAATTATTTCAAACTGAATAAATTGTGACCGCTGGGTGGACTTCTTACATTAGAGGCTGGTTTTGATGAATATGCCATTTTTAGGTCATTTCAAGAGCTGTGAAGGCC